AAAAAAAAAAAAAAGAGAGAGAGAGAGAGAATACAACTTTGTGTTTGGGAGACTCTAATGCAACCATCTGGTGCTTGTCAAAGAATCTAGAAAGATCCACTTCCTGCTTACTCTTTAATCTTGCTGTGAGATAAGAGAAGGTCAAACGTAGTAGTTCCCACTTTAAAATGTGGGTTTTTGAGGCTGAAAATCTGAATAGAGTCAGCCCTGAGCCTTTGCTATATTCCTTCACCTTTTAGAGTCCCCCCTCCCCAATTCCTTTTCCTTCCTTGCCAATTCAGTGCAGAATCTTCCATGAGTGAATTCTCAGTAAGCTGTTGGCCCTTCTGCCTCCCACCTTTTCGACTGACCAACAGTGGGGTCCTGAGGCACACTGCGCTGCAGTGAAGGATGTTTTAAGGTTTTAATTCCTAGCAGTGACAAGTAAACAGGTGAATACCTTCTCAGTTCCCTGGGACCATGCCCCAGTCAAGGCTGCCTTTGGATGAGCATGGTCAAGCTCCTCTTGGAAAAGTCAGCCCCTGCTCTAGGACTCGGTTCCATCACCAACTTAACCTTCACAGTGTGGACTTTCTTCAAACAGAAGATTGACAATACTTACCGATGTGAAATATCATTGTTTTCATTTGCTTTCCTGATCTCAGAGCGATTTCTTATTGCTTTAATCAAGCAGCTGCTGTTTTCATAAAATACATTTGTTTTCAGATACAATTTTTTTCAGATTGGTTTAAAAGAAGGAATGAGCCTGGAGGAGCAAAGACCTGGGTTTTTTTGTGTGTGCTTATTAAAATTTTTTAAATATATATTTTATTATTATTATTATTTATGTATTTATTTTTTGAGTTTGAGTTTCACTCCGTCGCCCAGACTGGAGTGCAGTGGCCACTCTCGGTCACCGCAGCCTCGACCCGCTAGGCTCTGGCGATCCTTCCGCCTCAGCCTTCCGAGTAGCTGGAGTTACAGGTGCTCACTACCATGCCCAGCTAATTTTTTGATTTATTGTAGAGATGAGGTCTCGCCAAGTTGCCCAGTCCAGTCTCGAACCCGCGGGCTCAGGCAATTCACTCACCTCAGCCTCCCAAGGCACGGGATCACAGTCTGAGCCACCGAGCCCGGCTTATTTTATTTTAAATATGTGGAGTATAATTCAGGACTTGGTATACATGTAAACATTGTACAGGTAAAGTTTTTGTTGTTGTTGTTTTGTCTTTTTGTGGGCTTTTTTTGAGTTGGAGTCTCACTCTGTCGCCTGAACTGGAGTGCAGTGGCACGCTCACAGCCACCGCAGCCTCGACCTGCTGGGCTCCTGCGATCCTTCTGCCTCAGCCTTCCAAGCCGGAACTACAGGCATGAGCTACCATGCCTGGCTAATTTTTGATGTATTGTAGAGACAAGGTCTCACCAAGTTTCCCGGACTGGTCTTGAACCCACAGGCTCAGGCAATCCACTCGCCTTGGCCTTCCAAAGTGCTGGGATTATAGGCTGAACCACTGAGCCCGGCCTGTACAGGTAAAGTTTAGGCCTCCCTTTGGTGCCCACTTTGCCTGGTTTGAGACTAGGTATCCTTATTGATATCATGTCCCCCCAACCCCAGCAGTATCCCACTACTGCCAATTCCTTTCTTATAGTATTATGGTAAATGTTCAGGATACACTTATGAGTGAGAAAATGGGGTACTCTGTTCTTTGTTTCTGTGATAGATCACTGAGTATTATCGACTCTAAATCTGTCCAAGTTGCTGAAAAGTCCATATGTCTGTCCTTCTTTATGGCTGAGTAATAGTCCATTGTGTATATGTATCACATTTATTTTATCCAGTCCAGTTTTGATGGGCAGCAAAGTTGGTTCTATGTTTTTGCTATTGTGAATAGTGTTGCAATAAATATGCATGTGCAGGTATCTTTTTTGTAGACTGCTTTGAGTTCCTCCTGGTATATTTTCAGTAGGGGCATTACTGGATCATATGGAAGGTCAATTTCTAATTCTTTTAGAAATCACCACAATGTTTTCCTTAGAGGTTGAACTAGTTGCATTCCCACCAGCAGTGTAGAAGCGTTCCCTTTTCTCTGCATCCTCTCCAGCATCTGTTGTTTTTTGCTTCATTAATGATGGCCATTCTTATTGGAGTTAGGTGGTATCTCAATGTGGATTTGATTTGCATTTCTCTGATGATTAGTGAGGCTGAGCGCTTTTTCATGTGTCTGTTGGCTGCTTGTATGTCTTCTTTTGAGAAGTATCTATTCATGCCTTTTGCCACTTTTTAATAGGACTGTTTGCTTTTTCCCTTTTGATACATTTGAGTTCCTTGTAGACCATGGATGTTAGGCCTTTGTCAGATATACAGTTGGCAAATATTTTTTCCCATTCTGTGGGCTGTCTCCCTGCTCTTTTGATGGTTTCTTTTACTTTGCAGAAACTTTTCAGTTTAATGAGGTCCCACTTGTCTATCTTATCTCTTATGGCATGGACACCTGGGGTTTTGATCAGGAATTGGTTGCCTACTTCGATTTCTGTAAGGGTATCTCCTGTGTTTTCTTTTCTTTTTTAATTCAATTTTTATAAAGAATCTTATCTGATACATAGTTGGGGGAGCACAGGAAAAAGCTGGCAAGAGAAGATATGGAGCTCAGATCAGCTAAGATCCTGGAATGTTACAGTAATGGCATGGATGGTTCTTGGTATATACAGGAGATGGGTAGGCAGAGAGAATGATAAATTCAGGCTACTAGAGAGAGGTTCAGTGGTCATGCATGAGTTAAAGATAGTAGAGGCCAACTTACTGGAAGAAATGTTATATTATGGAGTGGTCATTTGAAGAAGGGTGGACTTGCATGGTTCAGGGAAGGAGCATCTACTCAGCAGGACATCTCCATAGGGTGTCTGTCCAGGACATCAGGAGAATCACAGGATTCTTGAGTTCCATTTGACTGATTGCTGGTGACAGACCGTCTAAAGAGGCTTTCTCCAGAGCTAATGCTACTCGAGGTTGAGTGGATCCGTGACTGGGTGAGCCGGGTCATACTGGCAGATGGTATGTCTCCCATTCCCTACAAAAAGTACTTGAAGGCCTTGGTGAGCTTCCCAGGCTAAACTACTTGGGGCAGTCTCCCACAATCTGCTGTCTTTAGCAAAGTTATATTTATTTGGTTCAGGTGGGAATTACATTCAACCATAGCCTCAGCCACCACCAGTAAAGTACAGCACCTTAATGTTTTTAATTTGTTATCATTTTGGCCCAGTATGGGTCTTTCAATCTCCAGGTCTCTGCATCCATTGTAGAAACCCAAGAAGAGCTGTAGGTTTTTTTGGTTGATATCTTGGGCAATATGCAGTCTGTAGGTTTGAATCAGGTCCAAGTTGGTCTGCAACTCTTCCCGTCCAAAGTGATGAGGCAAAATAATGTCCACAACATTGGTTGTCCGACCTGAGAGCTTGGAAACTGCCCAGTCAATTCAGCCTTTGGCACAAGGGTCAACGTTAATAAGCACAAGGCCTTCCACATGGCTCTGAATGATTAAGTGCAAATCTGCTGAGGATATAAACTCCAGCTCCAACTTCAATCCCGATGATGCTTTTCAGACCTAGGTGGGTAAGAAGGAAGCAGTATTTCAATCAGTTCATTCATTGTGGGGTACTGGTACCCTGTTGGGAAAGGGGGTGCACCTTCCTGCTGGCCTAGGGCATCCACATGACAGACGACAAAGTGCTGGGTGATCCCTTGCATATCCTCAAAGTTAAAGAACGCATTGAGCCGGCTCGGTGGCTCAGCCCGTAATCCCGCGCTTTTGGGAGGCTGAGGTGAGTGGATTGCCTGAGCCCGCAGGTTAGAGACCCGCCTGGGCAGCGAGACCTCATCCTACAAAAAATCAGCCGGGCGTGGTAGCGCATGCCTGTAATTCTGGCTACTTGGATGGCTGAGGTGGAAGGATCGCCTGAGCCCAGCAGGTTGAGGCTGCGGTGGCCGGGAGCGGTCACTGCACTCCAGTCTGGGAGACCGAATCAGACTCCAACTCAAAAAAAAAAAAAAAAGAAAATGGAGTCCTACCAGGCACAGTGGCTCAAGCTTGTAATCCCAGCACTTTGGAAAGCTGAGGCGAGAGGACTGCCTGAGCTCAGACTGGGTAACTTGGTGAAACCTCGTCTCTATCATAAATAAAAAAAAATAGCTGGGCATGGTGGCATGCACCTGTAGTTCCAGCTACTTGGAAGGCTGAGGTGGAAGGATCACCTGTGCCCAGCAAGTTGAGGCTGTGAGCAGCGTGACACTGCACTCCAGCCTGGGCGACAGAGTGAGGCTTTGACTCCAAAAAAAAAAAGAAGAAAAAGAAAATGGAGTCCTTTGAGAGTTTCTGGTTGGTGACCTCCCAGCCTCATGTGGAACTTGGGTTTCATCCACCACCTCACCATGCGTCTGCACCCAGGCTCTGAGCTACGGTCTCCTGCTTCCTGCTTCCTTTCAGGGCAACCACAGGCTTCTCTTCTCAGTGCCACACTGTCTTTCAGTTACTTTTCAGTTTTAGCTTCTGAATATTTCTCATCCTATCTGGTAAGCTCAGTTACGCGTTTAAAAGTATAGCGGCTATAATTTATCCAGAGTGTCTAAGTTTTATGATGGAAGGCTCTACCCTTTTCTATATTGTTAGAAAGGTATGTTCTTCTATACACTTGTCAGAAAGAGGACACAAAGCAATGCTTAACGAGGTTAAATCTTAGTTATGTGAAAGGGTGGCCATATTAGCTGGTTGACACACTGAGTAGAATTAGCCATAGCTAACATACTGCTAACTCAAAAACAGACAACGAGATGCTTGGGAGAATACAGGATAAACTCAATGCTTTTTGAGGGACTTAATTGAGTAGAAAATTGTACAATTGAAGGGGTCCTTGGAGAGTAATGTATTCATTCATTCATCAATGATTTAATGTATGCTTATGACCCAGAAACTGTGGGTATACTGCTTCTTAGAAAACTCACCTTCTGCAGCACACGGCGAGCAGTAAATGGATGATTAAGTAACACGGTTGTAGATGGTGATAAAACTGCAGAGAAATTTAAATAGATTTAGAGGATGGAGACTAGGAGGTCTCCATGAAGAAGTAGCCACTGGGCTGAATTCTAAACAAGAAGGAGGAATCTGCCATGAGAGACCCAGGCAGAAAGCAGGCTGTGGTTCAGATGAAGAAGGACAGAGGGCCTGAGTGAGTAACCAGAGCAGACATTGGGTCCCAAGAATATGGAAACCATCGTTTTCAGAGTAGGCTCTGCTGAGGCTCTCATCCTCCCCTCTCTGCTCTCCGACCTCAGCCCTCCAGTTCCCTAATCCCCTCACCAGCTGTCCCATTCAGCCTTGTCTTCAAGCAAGCTGTCATCTACCACATCACATGCGCCTAAGTGCCCACACGAGCCACCAGAATATCTAGAACACCTGCTTCCGGGGTATTTGAGACCTCTTGCTCCAAATCCTTAGAGCCTCTGCAATTAATGAGACTATCTGGGAGTTCTCGCACCTGTTGTTTTTATGCCATCCTGTCTGTACTCATTCACATAACCACTGATTATGTTCTGGGATAATAAATACACACTTTGCTATGATGGTTTTAGAGAGTAAATGCTTAATATGTTATTAGAAAAATTTCCAGACTTAATTGTCAAATTTTCATACATTTTTGTCATGTATAGATCTATAGAGCTCTGCTCCAACTTGACAACAAATATATACACATGTATGCATTCATATATATATTTATGTCTCAAAAGAAGAAATCAAAAATGTCATAGTCTTTCCTTCATAATATCACTGATTAATAACTGCATGCTCTTAATAGTTTTAAAATGATTGTTTACTTGATTTCAATTCATTTTCATAATGATCATGGGAGGTAAATAGTATTATTTCCTTTGTTTTACAGATTATTTGAAAGCTGAGTTTTAAATAGGGAACTGATTGGTCCGTGGTGTTGCAACAGAAAATATCACTGAGACTGGATTAGAGAGAAAATGAGCACATCAAGAGTAAGGTATTCTTCTCTGTTCCAAGTGAACAATGCTGACATTTCCACCTTAATTTGCATTAATTCAATATTTTAAATAACTTTGTAATTTCCTACCATTAGTACAGAGGCTGCTGCGCATGCTTTCTTTTAAGTAGACACTCATTGGCCAAATGCATACTAAATATACAATATCAAAATTAAAATTTCAGTTTTTTTATCCTTAGACATCTATGCTTTTATTTTCTTTAACTTATTGTCTTGAAGGCCTTGCTATAGGAAGTTAGTTTTTTATAAATTCTAGGATGGAATATATTTCTGAGACATTAACTACATTAGATGGAGTTATTTTCATTAATCGTTTGTATAGCAACTGAAAATAGATCTAAAGAGGAGTGTTGAAAACATAAAACTTAGACATGAAAAACATCCAGTGGGAGGAGAATCCTAACATAGTTATGTTTTCACAGGACACTGTCTTGATTTAATCTTGGTGCCACAAACGAAGCGACTTTTTGCAATATTACAATTTATCAAGTAACTTTTCTCAGTAATGGTGTTGCTTCTACCCATCTGTCAAATTCTTTTAAAAAATGGTTTGATCTATTTTATTTATTGGTCTTTTTTTCCTTTTTTTTTTTTTTTTTTTTAAGTCAGAGTCTCACTCTGCTGCCTAGGCCAGAGTATAGCAGCACAATCACAGCTCACCACAGCCTCAACCTCCTGGGTTCAGGGGATCCTTCCACCTCAGCCTCCTGAGTAGCTGGGACTACCAGTGCTTGCCACTATGCCCAGTTTTTTTTTTTTTTTTTTTTTTTGGTAAAAGATAGGTCTTGCTACATCGCCCAGGCTGGTGTTGAACTCCTGAGCTCAGTCAGCCTTCCCACCTCAGCTTCTCATAGTGCTGGAATTACAGGCATGAACCACCACACCCGGGAAAAAATTTTTTTAATACACATTTAAGAACAAGTTAGAACACAAAACTGAAACTGAAAAGCTTCCTGATGCATCTACATTGCATTTCGGGTATTGTTGTACTTGCTCTAGCTAAGTCTCTTCCAGTCCTTGATAGTAACATGCTCAGTTTCATGCTAACTGCCTATGAAACACATCTGTAGAGAAAATTAACTGTTAGAGAATCATGCAAGTATGATTTCCTGCCACCCCAATCACCCCATCCTTCAGAATCCTGGTCAATGCCACGTTGCTGCTTGATTATACAAAATTTTGTGACAAGTTGTATATCAAGTGCCTTATATGGAAATTTTATTGAATCCTCACAACTACCCAGCGAACCTGGTGCCTCCATTGGTCCTTTGTCACAGATAAGGAAGCAGAAGTGTGGAGAAGTTTAAGTACCTTACCCAAAGCCACACAGTCAGGAAGGAATGGGGCAGGACTTGAACCCAGACAGTCTCACCCCAGGGTCTGAGCACTGAATCACCAATAAATGGAATGCTGCTTGCACATTACGTGCAGAGCATCATTCTAGGTTTGTCTTCCAGAATTGTATAGTCTAGTAAGGAAGTCAGTCAGGCAAGACTCTGGAAGGAAGAGCATGAGGCAAAGTCCAAAATCCTTTGCCTGGTCCTCATGGCCCTTTACTTGACTTATTTTTGTAACCTGATTGCCTACCACCTACCATTCTCCTACATGAACCCTGGACTTGTGATGTGTCTGGAGAAGCCGTCACCCTCACAGCTCTGTGCCTTTGTCTACTTGACTATGCTATATCTTCTGCATACCCCATGCAAAGCAGCTTCTCTCCAGGAGAATCCTAATCTCTCTCTGTGGAGTTCTTCTTACATTTGAATGTACAGCATTTCTTTCCTGCATTTGTGATAACCACTGTGTGCCAGGTATCATTTCATGTGCTTTTCCTAGAAGACAGCACCAGAAAGGCAATGAAAAATGCAAGTCCCCAGGGCAGGCATGTGTTAAGCATGTACCAAGCCACAGGGAGACCGTAGCCTCTAAGAGATACTCTTGGCCGGGCTTGGTGGCTCAACCTATAATCCCAGCACTTTGGGAGGCCGAGGCGAGTGAATTGCCTGAGCTCGCGGGTTTGAGATCAGCCCGGGCAACTTGGCGAGACCTCATCTCTACAATAAATTTTTAAAAATTAGCCGGGCATGGTAGTGCATACCTGTAGTTCCAGTTACTTGGAAGGCTGAAGTGGAAGGATCACCAGATCCCAGCAGGTTGACGCTGGGGTGGTTGTGAGTATGCCACTGCCCTCCAGTCTGGGCAATGGAGTGAGACTCCAACTTACAAAAAAAAAAAAAAAAGATACTCTTTAGCTCTTACAGATCAAAATTGAGTGATGTGAGATCTCAAGGCTAGTAATCCTTCTACTTCTCCATGTTGTCTCCGATGACTTCACCCTCAGGCCCGCCTGGTAGAGTGGTTGTCTCAGTCCATCTGGGCTGCTACAACTGTATACCATAAACTGGTGGCTTATAAACAACAGATGTTTATTTCTCACAGTTCTGGAGTTCTCACAATCAAAGCCCCAGCTGGTTCTGTGTCAGGTGAGGGCCCACTTTCTGGTTCATGGTCAGCAACTTCTCATTTTGTCCATGCATGGCAGAAGGACAAAGGCAGCTTTCTAGGGTCTCTTTTTTCAATTTTTTATTTATTTTTATTTATTTATTTATTTTTGAGTTGGAGTCTAACTCAGTCACCCAGATTGGAGTACAGTGGCCTCTCCTGGCCACCGCAGCCTCGACCTGCTGGGCTCCGGCGATCCTTCCGCCTCAGCCTTCCAAGTAGCCGGAATTACAGGCATGTGCTACCATGACTGGCTGATTTTTTTTTTACTTATTGTAGAGAAGAGGTCTCGCTGCCCAGGCAGGTCTCGAACCCGCAGGCTCAGGCCATCCACTCACCTCAGCCTCCTAAAGGCACGGGATTACAGGCTGAGCCACCAAGCCCGGCCCTAGGGTCTCTTTTATAAGAGCATTAATCCCATTAATGAGGAGACTACACTCATGGCCTAATCAGTTCCTAAAGGTCCCGTATCCTAATATCATCACCTTGAGGGTTAGGGTTTCAACATGTAAATTTTGGGGAAACAAACATTCAGACCATAGCAGTGGTTCCTTGGAATCCTATCACTCTGGCTTTTCAGTATCATGTGTAACCTAAACTGGACGTAAGTGCCACCTAGTAACCTAGTATTGAAATATATAAAACAACATTTTTAGAACTACAAGGAGAAACAGACAAACCCATAATCATAATGGGAGATTTTAACAACCTCTTTCAGTGAAGGCTATTAATAGAAATAAAAGACAAAAAACAGTAAGGATGGAAGGATTTAAGCAGCATAATTAACAAACTTGATCTAATTTATATGTACACATTGAAAAGGGCACACAAGAACCGCAGACTATAATTTTTTTTAGGCACATATAGAACATTACCCAAAATTTGACCATATGCTTAACCATTAAAAAAAAAAAACTCTTAACATCAAGGAACTGAAATAATACAAAATATGTTTTCTGGCCACATGTAATTAAACCAGTAATAAATAACAAAAATGCTAATACAAAACCCCACATTTTTAGAAATTAATAATACACTATTAAATAACTCAATGGAGCAAACCAAAAATCACAATAGGGATTAGAAGATTTTAAAATTTAATATATTAAAAATATGACATATCAAAATGTGTGGTCTGCATCCAAACCTATCCTTCAAGGAAAATTTGTAGGCTTAAACAAGTATTAGACCATAATATTTGTTTAAAATAAACAAGTATTAGGCTTTTAAGTAGAAAAAATGAAATGAATTATCTAAGTATCCATTTATTTTGAGAAGTTAGAAAAAGAACGGCAAAGTTTAACTTAAAGAAAGTAGAGAAGGTAAATCATAGACAACAAAACTAGAAACTAATGAAGTAGAAAACAAACATACACTGCGGATGAACAAATCCAAGATTGTGTCTTTAAAAAAAAAGACTTGAATTGACAAACACCTGGCTAGTCTGATCAAGAGAAGAGAGAGACAGAGTGGAGAATGTGCAAAGAAATAATTTTAGG